TGAGCTATTAGCAATGATCTTTGAGAATGCATGGAGGATGGCAGAGATCCCAGAGGCCTGGAAAAGGGCAAATATAGCACCTGTCTATAAAAAGGGCATGAGGACAACCCAGGGAATTATAGACCAGTCATCTTAACTTTGGTATCCGGAAAGATAATGGAGCAAATAATTAAACAATTTGCAAGCACCTAGAAAAAGTGAAAAGTAGCAGTCAATCTGAATTTGTGAAGAAAAAATTATTTCAACCGAATATCCTTCTTTGACAAGGTAACAACCCTTGTGGATAGTGTGGACACAGCAGCTGTGATATATCTTGATTTTAGTAAGGCTTTTGATACTCTCTCACATGACCTGCTCATAAGAAAACTAGAGAAATATAGCCTAGATGAACCTACTATAAGGTTGGTGCACAACTGGTTGGAAAAGTATATACAGAGAGTATTTATCAATAGTTCACATTTGAGCTGGAAGGGCATATTGAATGGGGTCCTGCAGGAATCTGTCCTGGGTCTGGTTTTATTCAATATCTTCATAAACGATTTAGATAATGGCATAGAGAGTACACTTTTAAAATTTGTTGACAATGCCAAGCTGGGAGGGATTGCAAGTGCTTTGGAGGACAGGATTAGAATTCAAAATGATCTTGATAAACTGGAGAAATAGTCTGAAATAAACAGGATGAAATTCAATAAAGACATATGCAAAGTACTGCCTTTAGGAAGGAATAATCAATTGCACAAATACAAAATGGATATGACTGCATAGGAACACGTATTGCAGAAAAGGATCTGGGGTTATGTGGCATCAAAAATGAAATATGAGTGAACAATGTAATATTGTTGCAAAAAAACGGAACATCTTGCTGGGATGTATTAGCAGAAGTGTTGTAAGCAAGATACGAGAAGTAATTCTTCCATTCTACTCAGCACTGATAAGGCCTCAGCTGGACTATGGTGTCCAGTTCTGGGCACGACACTGAAAAGTTGTGGACAAATTGGAGGAAGTCCAGAGGAGAGTAACAAAAATGATTAAAGGTCTAGAAAACATGACCTATGAAGAAAGATTGAAAAGATTAGGTTTGTTTAGTCAGGAGAGGAGTAGACTGAGGGGGGAGGTGAAAACAGTTTTCAGGTACCTAAAAGGTTGTTAGTGGTTAAGGAGAACAATTTTTCACCGAGGGACGTACTGGCCGCTGCTTCCAGCAGCTCCCATTGGCCTGGAGCAGCGAACCGTGGCCACTGGGAACTGCGATCAGCCGAACCTATGAACACGGCAGGTAAACAAACCAGCCCGGCCCGCCAGGGGCTTTCCCTGCACAAGCGGCGGAACAAGTTTGGGAACCACTGCTGTAGGCAATATCACCAGGACAGTAGAATAGCAAAGCTCTAGTCTTAATGAAAAACTGTACCCATGTCAAATTTTTTAAAGTCCATTTTGGAGCTGTCCTCTTGATTAAAATAGATCTGAAAAAAATTGTGACCGGTGCAAAACACTCTTAATTCATGTTAAGATAATGCAAAAGTTGCCAAATTGATTTTTAATCCAACAAATTAATTTTAAGTCTGAGAATATGCATGAGCAATTTCAATCCAGAAGGTAATATTTAGGGAAGTGATAAGCACCTGAAAATTAGGGCTTATAATGGAAATGCGTTCTGAGTCCATAATTTCAGAGTTGCTAATTTGACACAATAATATAATTCTATTTATTCATGTTGAGAGATACTTCTTATCTTTTGGAATGCCATTAAGGAAAAATGGGTACAGTTTTAAATCATGTGGGAAGAAGATTATATCTTTTCCAAGATGTTCCATTTGTATGCGCCAAATCCACATAGGGTTCTTGACATTCTTCTTCACAATGTTTGCACCGTGACCTTTACATTAGTAGATATATGTGCAAACGTATATTTGTCCAGCCATCTGTTTAGTGGTTCCATGTCCGAAGAGGCAGCTGGGCAACAGTTATTCGACCTAAAGGCTAAAATAACTATTTCATCTCAACTGGCCTTCATGTAAATCAGTTTCAGGATGGATGGATCGGATTTGTAATAGTTCACTCTGCTAAAATATCCCCTTCTTCAGGGGACTCAGTTCGTTCTAATGCAGAAAAGGTTGGGTACTATTTGCAGAGTGGTGGCCTGACCAGTGCCCACTGAAGTCAACAGAAAGTCATCTTTGGGAAATTGCTGGATCTCTCGTTACCTTTTCCAGCCCCAGAGAGTACATCTACACAGCAAGTGGCAGGCCGCAGCCGTGAATCTGAGCCCCAGGCAACAGACTCAGGTTTGCACTGCGTGCTAAAAATAGCTGTATAAGTGGTGTGGCTCAGGCTGGAGTGCAGGCTCTGAGGCCTAGGGAGGGGTTTATTTTTTAGCACTGCTGCTTTTAGCCTGGCAGTGAGAGCCCCCCGTCTGTCGACAGGCTCGGAGACATACCCCAACATTCTTCACGTACATCACTTATTAGAAATAGTCACTGCAGATTCCCTGGTGGACTCTGGCCCCTGAAATTCTATATAATCCTGGATAAAGTTAGCTCCTAGAGGGAACATTAGTGAGTGTAAGTGGGTGGCTTGCCCTGTACAGGCCGGAGGGCCTGGGGCTCAGGGCCGGATTAACTTTTTGTGGGCCTGATGCCAAACATATTTATGGGACCCCTTGGGGACAGTGGAGCATGGCGTGGGGAGGTTGGTCCCCAGAGCGAGGGGCTGGCCAGGGGCAATGGGGCATGGCACAGCGGGGGTGGCCCCACTCCGCCCAGCCCACTGCAAGGACACAGTTTACAAACCGGCAGTTGCCAGACGCACAATGGCTTGTCTGGCCCTGTGCTGCCAGCATGCCACTTCCCTTTGGGGGTGGACCTGGGCTGTGCCCCACAGCTCCCTGCCCAACTTCCCCCTACTCCCTATGCCCAATGTCCCCTGGACCTGCTATGCCATTTGTGGTGCCCCTCCACATATCCGCCACCACCAATGCACAGTGCCCTGCACACCACCACCCTGCCCAGTGCCCCCCCAACAACCCCCCCACAACTGTCCAGCACCCCCCAGCCCGACCACAACTGTTCAGCACCCACACAAAACTCCCACTCCCTAGCACCCTAACACACACAGATCTCCCCCTTCTGCCACTGCCCAGTGCCTTTCCCCACAGCCCTATCACCACAACTACACAGCACCCCAAAGACCCTCCACTGCTCAGCACCCCAACACACACAGACCTCCTCCACCACCCAGAGCCCCCCCACAAACCCCCCACTGCTTAGCACCCCAAAACGCATAAACTTCCCCCACTGCCCAGCACCCCTGCCCCCTCACAGCCCAGCACCCTGCACTGGCCCCCCCAGAGATCCACTCCCCTCGTGCCCTGCCCCCCTGGCTGAACTCACTGCTGCTGGGAGGTGACTGTGTCTGCTGGGCTGAGCCAGCAGCATGGCTGGGGCTGGTCCCATTCCTGGGGCAGGGAATTACTCTCGCCCCTTGGGAGCAGCATGATCACCCAGGCAAGGGCCTGCCCCTGCCACGGACAGACTCTCAGGACCCTCTTGCCTAGAGGGGCCCAGCCAAGCACCCCACACTGCCTCTTCCCCCCTACACTGGCTGAGAGTGGCCAGAGCCGGAGCTGCACTGGGGTCTGGCCAGGGGGCAGAGAAGAGCCAGCGGGCTGGTGGGGCCTCAGGGCACAGTGCAAATGGAGAAGGCTGGGCTGTGGCTCCTTCTGAGTGTGGGCCCAGCACCTTGGCACCATTGAAAACCTGGTGTTGCTGGGGCAGCCAACCCCGATTGCTGAAAGAGGGATCAGGAGATTCCCCTATAAAAAGTAGCTGGAAGCTGAAATGGGGAAAACTCAGGGAGACCAAAGACTGCTGGGAGTGAGGAGGCTCCAGCAGAGTCCTGGGATTTGTGACTATGGTTTGTCTATACCAGTGGTACCCAACCTTATTACACAGGAGTGCCACATAAACCTTATGTGGGCTAAACAGATTCTACATATTTTAATAAGATTTAAAGTCACATGTATTGATTTATATTTGAAGTTTAACTTGTGTTGTATGTCTTTAGATAGGTTGTTTCTATGTACAGTATTGTCTATTTACACACTTGTGTAAACTAAAATGATGTAAGCGTGATGACGAAACGCTAATGAATCGGCCACTAGTATATTGTTTTGAAGCAGGCCTCAGGCTTTATGAAATACTCTGGTGGGCTGTGTATGGCCCACAGGCCATATGTTAGGCACTCCTGATCTACACTGTCCAGCAGTTTGGATCACGGGTGTGTGAATAACAGTGCAGCGTCTTGGTGCACATTGCAACTCACTTGTGTGGATGTTGTGGGTGCAACCCATAAGTTTCCTAGTTTGCCTTCATGGAATCCTCTTCAAACAGGACTACATTAATGGGAAGAAGGAACCTTTTAGTTCGCACCCCAGGCATCCACACAGGGAAGTTACAGAGCAGCACTTTGGTGCGCCCTGCAGTCTGAACCACAGGGCAGTATAAATGTAGCCTAAGATTTCAGCTAGGAAGTACTGGCAGTAGCCTGCTAAGGCAGGGGAGACTCTGCGAGAGAGCAGGGGAAAGACAGCCAAAGCTCTCCAAGCAGGGAGGCTTGGGAACAGGAAGAGAAACGTTTGCTTGTTGGACTTTAATTTGGGACTCTTGAGATTTATTTTGAGTTTGTTTTGTGAATCAACCTAGGTCCCAACAAGGGGTATTTTGACCCCAGAAAAAGAGTATGGAGTCTGCATAAGGGGCCCCAGACGCAGGTGCTGCAGGGTGACCTCTGGTCAAAAGGGGTTGCTCACAGTGTGGTTGCTCTTGTTACAGTAAGGAATAAAAAAGTGAAGATTGTGAATGAAATTCTGCCCTCAGTAATGCATAGGTGTAAATGAAGGCACAATTTGACAAATTTATAATTTAAATGCGTGTAATAAAGATGTCAAACATGCCTGTTATATTTGCTAAACTGAACTTGAAAATGTGCTTTTTTTTTTTTAGGTTAGCCAATATACCAAAGCAATTGAAATATATGAACAGAAAATCCGAAACCTCACCATCAAGGTGGAACATATGGAGTCGACCACTGTTTCTTATACTGAGCTGGACTTTCAGTTACTGAAACTGGAAATCAATGAAATGGAGAGACTGGTCACTCAGCTGAAATCCACACTTGTTGGAAGCAATGTGATTGTTGAACAACTATACGTGGAGGTAGAGTATGAGGGTTATTCTGCCATTCAGAAACATTCCGTTCTGTGTTACACCAGTGACATTTGGAATGTCTCTACTATTGTCAGTGCAGTCACTCTGGATTTAAATCGGTGTTAATTAAAGCAAATCTTGGCCTGAAGCATGTTTCTTCATATATGACAGAAAATGGCAATTTTTATCATTTGTGTGACTGAAAGCTAAAGTTCTTGGATTCTGCTATATTAAATAAATATGCTGTCTAAATTATTATAATATTAATTTATGGGCACCGATGCCTGAAAGCTCCTGTGCTCTACAAATATAATTTAAAAATTTTACTTATTAGGGTAGTAACCCAATCAATATAAAATCAAGAACTGGAAAAGACTCACACCTTCCCAATATTCAATAAATCAAATTTTCAAAGTTATCACTCACTCACCTGGAGTGAATAATTGCTTTTGATGGTAAGTAAAATATCATTAGTTTCTTCACTGTCCTCTTCAACATTAAATGAGCATGTGAGTAGATTATTCATCTGGGCAGGTAAAATTTCAAGACACATTTGCAAGGTTGAAATAATTTATAGGTAACAATTAATAATCGAGTAAGCCTTATTGGACATGTTTGGGTGATCTTTAGCATTATGGAATATGATTAGGTGCTAAAATCACAAACATTTTCTTGTGGTTACACACAGCCACATGATGTTTATGCTAAACCTGATGTTTATGCTTAAACATATTCTTGGGAACATTTCCTAAAACTTGTTCTGCAGCACCTGTTGTGAAATGATAAATCCAGCCTAAAATGTTTGTGAAATAAAGTTGACTGTAATTTAAAGTCATGCTGAATTTTTATTTCTCCAGATTAGGAATTTGACTCTCATGGTAAATGATCTGGAATCACTGGACAAAAACAATATCCTTGCAATCCGTCGAGAAATTGTGACTCTGCAGAATCGATTGAAGGAATGTGAAAAAGAAAGAAATCAAACCACTCCGCCCCCCTATTTCCCACCAGGTAAGCATTTCATGTATAGATCACATGAGAAGGGATGGGAGAAGTAGGAAGACGACTGAGTTAAATGAAATGACAATAAAGCACAGGTCCTGGAAAATTTGCCAAACATGTACTAACCTTTCAGCAACAGACTGGTATGAAAGATGAGAGCAGGAAACAAACACTTTCACATACTCTTATACTGTTTTTAAAGTGGAAAAAGTTGGAAAACAATACAAATGCAATGTTTTCCCCTTCTTCCAAACTCTCTTTTTGTGGTAAAATATAAGAACATAAGAACGGCCATATTGGGTCAGACCAAAGGTCCATCCAGTATCCTGTCTTCCAACAGTGGCCAGTGCAAAGTGTCCCAGAGGGAATGAACAGAACAGGTAATCATCAAGTGATCCCTCCACTATCGTCCATTCCCAGCTTCTGGCAAACAGAGGCTAGGGATACCATCCCTGCCCATCCTGGCTAATAGCCATTGATGGACCTATCCTCCGTGAATTTATCTAGTTCTGTTTTGAACCCTGTTATAGTCTTGGCCTTCACAACACCCTCTGGCAAGGAGTTCCACAGATTGACTGTTCGTTGTATGAAAAATACTTCTTTTTGTTTGTTTGAAATCTGCTGCCTATTAATTTCATTTGGTGACCCCTAGTTCTTGTGTTATGAGAAGAAATAAATATCACTTCCTTATTTACTTTCTCCACACCAGTCATGATTTTATAGTTCTCTATCATATCCCTCCTTAGTTGTCTTTTTTTCCAAGCTGAAAAGTCCCAGTCTTATTAAACTCTCCTCATATGGCAGACGCTCTTTACCCCTAATCATTTTTGTTGCTTTTTTCTGAACCTTTTCCAATTCCAGTATATCTTTTGTTGAGATGGGGTGACCACATCTGCACACAGTATTCAAGATGTGGGAGTACCATAGATTTATATAGAGGAAATATGATATTTTCTGTCTTATTATCTATTCCTTTCTTAATGATTGCCAACATTCTATTCATTTTTTTGACGGCTGCTGCACATTGAGTGGATGTTTTCAGAGAACTATCCACAATCACTCCAAGATCTCTTTCTTGAGTGGTAACAGCTAATTTAGACCCCATCATTTTATCTGTATAGTTGGGTTTATGTTTTAAATGTGCATTACTTTGCATTTATCAGCATTGAATTTCATCTGCCATTTTGTTGTCCAGTTAACCAGATTTGAGAGAGATTTTTTCTGACTAGCTCTAATCATGGATAACTTCTGTGAAAGTGATCTGTGTCTTGTCAATGTTACTCTACTGCTGCTTGGGAAATTTGAGAAGCAGCTGATGCACTGGAGGAGTTTGTATGCAGACTCAAGAAGACAATATTGCATAGTTTACATTTTTCATTAATATGCAGAAATTTATTTTGAGCCATAAAGTCTAGAATCTTAGGGTGAAATCCTAGTTCCATTGAACTCAGTGGGAGTTTTGCCATTGTCTTTAATGGAGCCAGGATTTCACTCAGTTTTTTTTTTAAGAAAGTTTAAATTCTGTAGCAATTGATAGCTTTCCTTAAGGGAAAGCTTCCCAGTCACCAATGAGTAGGCAAGAGGATTTTTTAAGCACTGTAACTCCCTTGTATGCATTTTTATGACTTCTTTTTGCCAAATTATTCTAAAGCAGAAGATATTGAAATGTTCATAATACAATTGGGGAAGAAGACTGTTTTTTCACCTGTACCTAACAATTTGGCTAGCAAATCAGAGGTGAACCAGATGAATAACAAAAAGTTTGGAGAAACCTTTGAACAAAGCAGAGCACTTTCCACTATACAGATAGTGCACATATATTACCTGCCAGCACTTGCCTCCTACCATCTTCAGGTCAGTTATTTCAAGCTTCCCATTAGCAGGAAAGAGGAACTGGTGGAAGTAAGTGTTTTCCCTCTGCGGCCTCTTCAGGGTTTGCCAGCATTGCAGGCAGCCAGCGCAGTTTGTCTCTGATAGGAAAAATGAACAGCACCTTCTCGGTTAGGTCAGATGATGCGGGGGGATGGAGGAGGGGCTTATTTCAGGGTTGGTGGATCTCTTTCTGGTTGACTTGAATGTGACATGCCCGCAGGGCACCGCAGCTTTCTTAGCACCAGGAATGGCATGGAAGGCCAGATCCTCAGCTGACATAAGTTGCCGTAGCTCCATTGACTTTGGTTGGACTATGACAGTTTATACCAGTTAGGGACTTAGCTGATGACTTTTTTGATGGTTTCTGGGTGCAATTCCCCCATTGGCACAGAGGCTTCAGAAGGCTCCTACTGCAGTGGAACCTCAGTGGTTCTCTTGTTTGAGGGGTGTGTGAAGCTGTGGAGAGACCATAGAGAGGGACTCTGCATGTCTTGTGCATGGTAAGTTGCCATCAACTTCAAATAGCTCAAAACAAGGTTTGCTGGGAGTTTGGGAGCAGAGAGTGATTGTGATTTCTGGGTGTGCCATTACGGAGATCAAATGATAGTAAACCATGCTGAAGGGGAGTATATCAGTGCCATGGTTCGTACTTCAGCCCAAGACTGGAATAGCAACTGTGGAGAGCCTGGGAATTCGCCTGTCTGTTAGGAAGTGGAGCTGCTCAGCTACTACTGTGTAAATATCTAGATAGAGACAAAGATTCAGATCCCTGCTGTATAATTGACCACACAAAGCCTGCTTAGCCTGACATTGTTTGCATGGTGGGGAGGAAGGTGAGCAGATGAATTGCACTCTCTTTACAGTGGGTGCAATCTTTCATTTCATGCCCTATTGTTCAAAACTTTCTACAGCGATTGCACACAGTATAGTCCAGGGGTGGGCAACCTACGGCCTGGATCTGGCCCCTCAGGGCTTTGGATCCGGCCTGTGGGATTGCCCCCGTGGTGCCGCAGAAGTGGCTGGCACCACGTCCCTGGGGCCCCGGGGGCGGGGAGAGGGCTCTGTGCATTGCCCTTGCCTCCAGGCACCGCCCCCTGCAGCTCCCATTGGCCGGGAACGGGGAACTGTGGCCAATGGGAGCTTCGGGGGGACATACCTGGAGGCACAGCAAGGGCAGCGCGTGGAGCCCTGTGCTCCCCCACCCCAGGGGCCACACAGGGACGTGGTGACAGCCGCTTCCCAGAGCGGTGTGGCGTGGGGCCAGGGCAGGCATGCAGGCAGCCTACTCTGGCCCCGGTGTGCGCTGCTGCTTTAGGTAAGCGGCACCGGGCCAGAGCCTGAACCCCTCCTGCAACACGCCCCCCAACTCTCTGCCCTAAGCCCCCTGCCTGCACCTCGCACCCCTCCTACACTCCAACTCCCTTCCCTGAGCCCCCTGCTGCACCCTGCACCCCCGTGTACCCCAACTCCCTGCCCTGAGCCCCCTGCCGCACCCCACACTCCTCCTGCATCAACCCCCTTCCCTGAGCCTCCTCATACACTCTGCACCCCTCCTCTGCCACAATCCCTTGCCCTGAGCCCGTTCATGCACACCGCACCCCCTCCCACACCTCGCACTCCCTCCTGCACCCCAACCCCCTGCCCAGGCCCTGCATACTATTTCCCCACCCAGATGTGGCCCTCAGCCCAAAAAGTTTGCCCACCCCTGGTATAGTCCATTTCCTTAACAGAGAGAATGTGAGAGGGAGAGGTTGTTGTTTGGGAACAGGGGGCAAATAAGTGACTTTGTTGGATTTCCTGGATGGGTCCCTTTGGAGGATGCAAACGGTTGCTCACACTAGACTGTCAAAACTCCCTAACATGCCTTTAAGCAGTTACACACAGATTTCCAGACATTTCCTCCACAACCTTGATTCCTGTCAAACAACTTCCTCTGCTTTTGGCTCATACTATATTTATAATATTTGTATTACACTGACCCTTTGTCCTGTTTTCAGATCTGTTCCCCCCCCCCCCTTCATATTTTGGTTGGGTAAAGCGGACTTGGGAGACTCTGAAAAATCCTTAACTTGTCTAGGGCGGGTTTAATTAAAGTTACTTGTTCTTGCAGTACTTTGGAATACAGCCCCTCAAACACTGCATCCCAAGGTGCTGCTCACTGACACGCTGTGTAGAGAGAGCAGGCCTATTCTCAAGCAACCTGTCAGAAAGAAAGTACTGTTCTCCATCTAGTCTGCTCTCTGACTGCAATTTTCTAGTGCATGGCCCAGTCCACGATAGGATTCAGTAAATGTGCTGATAATAAAAACTCATTACTTTTACCATGCCTGCAGCCGTTTCCAGCACCTCTGTCACTATTTACTGCCCCAAATTAGCAGAAACTTATCCAACCTTTTCCCATCCCTTTGACAAACTAAGGACTTGTCTCCACGGGCACTTTACAGCGCTGAAACTTTCTCGCTCAGGGGTGTGAAAAAACATCCCCTTGAGTGCTGCAGGTTTCAGCGCTGTAACGTGCCAGTGGAAACGGTGCGCCAGGGCTGGGAGCCGCGCTTCCAGCCCTGGTAGCTATTCCCCGTGTGGAGGTGGATTTTTAGAGCTCTCCCAGAGCTGGCCGCAGCAGCCCTTTAACGTTGCCAGTGAAGATGTGCCATGAATGACTGTCTCTCTTGTGTGTTGATTTCAACTGATTGCATCAGGGCAGGAGTACAGAGATAAATGTTCAGTGAGGGCTCAGCAACAGGCTCATTGTCACACTGGACTAAAATGATCTGGTAGTCAGCAGACAGTCATGAGCCAAATGAGACACTAACAGGCAAATGAAAAGGCAAAGCTGGTTTTCCCCCGCATTGTGCCTTCAGGGACTAATATACCAGACTGCAGGTTATTGGCAAACAGCTCTCACCAGGGTGGGGACATGGAATCAGCCTCTGTGGAAGCTCAGGCATCTCAGTCTGAGGGTTACACTGATTTCATGCACCCCGCCATCTAAATAAGGCTGGGGTGTAGGAAAATAAATGCCTATAGCTTGGTTGTCTTTTGGGGTAATGTAGTGGCACCAATTATCACTTGAAATGTTAATGCTTTAGTTATGGATATGTTAATTTAGAGCTGGACATTTCCATGGTGTTTGTACA